GCGATACGTTCCTCCGAAACGTCGGTTAACAACACATATACACGGTGCCAAATCCCAGAAGACTGCTTTCTTCATAGTCACCGCCGTGAAAGCCTCAAATCTTACACTAGGTTTAACGTTATAAAATCCTCCGCTGAAGTCGATCCTTAGCTAGTTCCAGCGACCCCACCAACTGCCTTCCATAAAGGCAATCATGTTAACCTCCAATCTCCTCGGTTTCCTAACTGACTATTTCGCAATTAGTCTCACCACCGAAACTCTTGTGTTGTTGGTCTCGTAAAGCCTAACATTTCAGCATCCTAAGAATACATGGTAACACTTAGGCCGCTGTTGCTTTCTTCAGACGCTGAATATGGTTACGCGAAACTTAAACGAGGAGGTGGACATATGTAGTAGACATTCAGACAGGGAGACAGACAGACAGGTTTTAAAACTAACAAAGCAGGAAGTTGGGAGGGGGGAGGCGGTACAACAGGGAATTTAGCCTGAACAGAAACAAAAGGAGTAGAAGAAACTCTGCTTGTCCGGACAGCCAACTCCTTTCCTTGCAACATGGGCCTGACGGGTGGGAGGCGGGAACTCATCGTCACAGATATTGCTTTTTTAGGGCCGAAGGGTTATAAAAACTATCGTGCATTACAGGGATGATGCCCAAACCGCAGAGTACTCTCAAGAAGGCGCGGTAAAGTTGTCCCTGTGCCTAACTAATTAAGCACCATACCATAAAGGCGTATGGGGGAATGGATGTTTAGATCCACATTTTTTTACCTCAGCATTAGTTGGAGGTGAGCGGTCAGCTTCACGCCTCCGCCGCTTTACCCTCGGGAAAGAGCCTCTGGTGTCCATTTAATAGGTTTGGTGGACCCTAGAGTCGGTCTGGACGCCATGGGGAAGAGAAATTTCTTACCCCACCGGGACTCGAACCCCGAGTCCTCCGTCTTCCAGCCCGTAGCCAGGCACTATGGGCTGAAGGTGAATTAATTATTACTTCTGAGATATGATGTCCAACCCAGCCGACCGTCAAGTCGCAACAGAGGGACGCGTCCTACTATGAACATTTTAAAATATCTGCAATCCTGAGGGTGAGGGGTGGGTATTACTAAGCAAAATCAACCAAATCGCCTATTAAAATCGGAAAATTGGTTACGAAGAAATCACTGGCACAGCCTCATGCCTTAAGAAACCTATTGGACCCACAATGTCATTGCAGCCTTAACATCTTATCAGCGTTATCATTAAGAAATATAAAGAGGTTCAGGAGGAGTGGATTTTAGGAAAGGGTTCATGAGGTAAGCAGAGGCGTTCTTGAAGCGTCATTAGACATTTGTGTCCCACTTCGAGTCTTATGGAATACACGAAATAAGTATGGCTACTTAGCGAAAGGAGCCGGGGTAGCGTAGTCAGTATAGCGACTGGCTACGTGCTGGAAGACTGAGGGTTCAGAGTTCGAGTCCCGGTAGTGTTAAGAACTTTCTCTTCTCCACGTCGTCTACACCGGTTTGGGGTCCACCCAACCTCCTATCCAATGGGTATCGGCGGCTGTTTCCCCGGGAGTAAAGCGGCAGGAGCGTGAAGCTGACCACTCACCTCCAGCTGGTGCCGAGGTCAAGAAAATTATTTATACATCCACTCCCCATACTCCTTAATGGCGTAGTGCTTAATTAGTTAAGCACAGGGACAACTTTACCTTTTACCTAGCGGAAAGTATTAATATTCCAATATTTTGAAATCCTCACGTTAATATCAGCAAGCAAAATCACCCCCCATATACAGGGTTAGCCTAAAAGAAATGGACAGATTAAATGACTCGTGTTCGTGAAACTTACACGTGCAAGTTTAGAACTTCAAGTTCCACAAAAGACTGTGAGGAATATTTTGCGTAAACGTTTACGAATGTTTCCTTACCGGTTGCAATTATTGCAGAACCTCACCGAAAACGACAAAACCCTCCGTCACTCATTCTGCATGGACATGCAGCAACGGAAGGAAGTAATGATTTCTTTAACCGGCAGTTTTCGGTGACGAATCAACGTTCCACATTAGCGGTACGGTGAACAAACAGAACGTTCGTATATGGGGAACTGAAAACCTGAGAGCTGTATTAGAGCATGTGAGGGATTCACCTAAAGTGCACGTTTTTTGTGCTGTATCCCGTAAAAAGTGTACCCACGTAAACTTCAGGGCGTACTTTTCGAACCCTAAGTATCTCGGCCGTGCTATTAAAACTCTTCTTTCTGTAAAACTTTGAAAGTGTCTATTTCTTTTAGGCTAACCCTGTACTTCGAATATTCAATCGCAACATAATTTCTTATATTTTTCCATCTGTAGAGAAATATTTATACAAATGTGGTGGAAAGGAGTTATGTTCTTCTTAATCAAAATTTTCTAATAACATTATGATGCAAAAGGTAACTAATTAAGCACTACGCCATGAAGGCGTATGGGAAGAGGATGTATAATCCACATTTTCTTGACCTCGGCACTAGTTGGAGGTGAGTGAACAGCTTCACGCCGCGGCCACTTTACCCCCGAGTAAAGAGCCCCAGGTATCCATTGTATAAGAGGTTGGGTGGACCCCAGAACCGGTCTAGGCGACATGGAGAAGTGAAAATTCTTACCCCACCGGGGTTCGAACTCCGACCCCTCGGTCGCGCAGCCCGTAGCCAGTCGCTATATCGACTGAGCTATCATGGCTCCTCATTGTGATGCAACGGACAGTATATTCACAATCAGCCTACTACAAGTGCATAACGCCGGAAAACATTTTCACTTTCGAAAGAAATATTTGAGACGACACTCTGTGTCCGAACCCCGAACCCCGAACCTCAACCAATGGCATCCAGTCTATACGCCCGAGAAGATAAGACACTCAGGACATATGAAGTGATAGTGAAAGAAGGCAACAAGTACAATAGCAACAACAAAATCAATAATGATAACAACTTCAACAGTAGTGCTCCCCAAAATATCGATTTCAAAGTTAAGAACTTAATGAGTACTTACACAAATCCCCCTTTCAGAACACATGGCGCCCCACACCGGAAAGTTGGACTGCAACAGCTCGCAGTTTTCCCAACACTGCGAACAGAAAACAAGCAAAATAAGGCTAAAATAGGAAAACAAGAGAACTTACGTCAACAATTTTCTTAAAAATCTTACAGAGAACGAAACTTCTATCTGCATTCACAGAATCGAATGCTTGCATTCCTAGTCTGATAAACCCAGCATTCGACTTGTGGCAACGGAACCCGGAGGTCTGACACAGAACAAATGCACTTCAATGAGGTTCATATCCTTACACTAATTATCGTTTGATTACTGATATTTAAGTGAGGCAGTCAATATATACTATGATGTCCAGAAGGCACAGCTCTATGCTCAAGCTATTTTCACAAATCCTGTCTCTTCTGAGCAAGCCAAATCCAATCCACCCCTAATACCCTATTTCTTCAAAAGGTAAGGTAAAAGGTAAAGTTGTCCCTGTGCTTAACTATATAAGCACTACGCCATGAAGGGGTATGGGGGAGTGGATGTATAGATCCACATTTTCTTGACGTCGACACTATCTGGAGGTGAGTGATCAGCTTCACGCCCCGGCCGCTTTACCTCTGGGGTAAGAGCCCCAGGTACCCATCTGATAGGAAGTTGAGTGACCCCCAGAGCCGGTCTGGACGACATGGAGAAGAGATAATTCTTGACCCTACCGGGACTCGAACTCCGACCCCGCGGTCGCCCAGCCCGCAGCCAGTTGCTATACCGACTGCGCTATCCCGGCTCCTTCCATTTTTCTTTAAACTGTATTTTAATGTTTCTCCAATTTACGACTAAGCGACCAAGCGGTCTTTTCAGGTTGATCCACCTAAATTATATATAATTTCACATTCCTGCTGCGTGCTGCATGTTACAACTATGTCACCCTCCTTGAACTCTAAACTCTAGCAATATAAATCTGAGAGCATAAGTGATCTATTTCAGTATTTCCCCTCTACGATCCTCGATTTCTAGTGGCCGCTTTCCAAGAAGACCCGTCCACCTTGTGCAGCCCACTGCAGTCGCATCCATGTAATTATATTAACAGTAGCCCACTACATCACACACTCTTCGATCGTAAAACACAGAACGACACAATTATAAATGTCACCAATGAGAGATTTTGTGCCATGAAGAATAGAATGGAACTCTACCCTCCGGAATTTGTGTAGTAGCAACCAACAGAACAATCCGATTAGAATAGTTCCTGAGGAAGATGATTTTGATTTAATTTGGTTATTTCGCGATAA